GTTACTAGAAGTCAAAGTTCGAACAAGCTATGAAACTGATTGATGAATTTCAGGAAAAAAAGTATTCAACTGTAAGAAATACCAGGTTTTATGGTAACCAAAAAAGTAAAGCCTAAATTATCAAAAGATATGACACGTGTTACCCAAGTACATGGCTCAATGACGTCAAACAATGTATTAACTGTAGTTGAATCTATAAAAAGAAGCAAAAAAAAAAGGTAAAAGAAAAAGAAGATGGTTAAAAAAAAAAAAAGGAAGTTAAAAAACTTTTTATTAAATGTATGCTTCAATGTAATTGTGAAGACATAAAATGTAAAGCTTTCGGCTTGAAGCAGTGTCTAACCTGTCCTAATATTATGAAGTTTGTTTGCAGCAAAGTAAATTGCAAAGTAAATTGACGAAATCCAGAAATGATTTTATTAGCAGGTGCTAGAATGAAATGAACTAATTATTTTAATGAGATATTTGTATAAATTTTGTGCAAATTTAGTGAAAAAGATTGATTCTGGTTAATTTTTTTTTTAAACCACCCCAATAACTATTAAAATGTTAAATTGTACATTTTAATAGTTATTTTTACATTTTTCCTTCTACTTAAAATGCAAATGGCTTGATTTATGTATAGAATATATAAAAGTTAGGTTAACTAGATTGGAGTTGCAAACTTAGTTTAAAAATCCCTATTTTATAGCAATTTTTCTTAAAGATTCTAAAAAATTTATAAACTTTTTTTAACTGAAAACGTTTGTAAAAATTTTTCTATATTTTTATCTTTGTTATCTTTTATTTTAATTGTTGCTGGACATTCATGTATCAAAAACCATTTCTTTTGTGGTTTTAAAATACAGATTTAAATTTTTATAGCCATATAACTGACCACGCTGTTTTTGGGGTGCTTTAGTTTTTGTAGTGCATTCACTTGTATAAAAGATTTCTTATCATTTGTTAATAAATTCCAATAAAATTATAACAAATTGAAATCAATAAAAAGTAATAAGGAAACTGATATTTGTTAAAAAGTTGAAGATTTTTATCCTTATTTTGAATTTTTATTTTTTAGTTCTTTGCTAATTTTTTACCTCCTTAAGATTTTATTTTAAAATTCTTTGTAAAAATAACGCATGCGCAAATTTAATTTTTTTTTTTTCAATTACAAACATGGTTAAAATCTGGGGCAAGATCGGCATAATCGGCACAATCGGCCGATCGTAAAACGAACATGGCCAACCATTGGAATATAAACGGCATCATCGCCGCAGTGGTACCGGTCATCATCCAATGAATCCCATGCATGGACAAAGCATGGAGTGTTTGCTGGGTACTTTGTACTTCTCGATGTTCACAAGGCAGTTGTTTAACCAGTTTACAACGCTGTCCGTGTCCGCTTGTAGTTTTTCATAGTCAAAGAAATATTCATTGACATTCATAACTCATATAACCTTACCATCATTGGCGTATAATTTGATATGGTTATAAATTTAGTCTGGTAAGTCATTCTTGAAGAACACAAATATTAGATGATGCAAGAACGGATCCTTGAGTAACGCCCTCATCACCCTTCCACTCAGATTTTTCACTCAGACGTTAATTCTCCAATTACTACTCATTGTTGTCCATTAGCTAGCCAACTGCATATACATTTTAATTGCTGGTTTCAAATGATACGAGTCTTATAAAAAAATGTCATTGTGTGACACTGTGATGAATGCTTTGGAAAAGCCATTTCATATTAATTATTAACAATTAATTATGTCAGTTAGGTGTTCAAGGTAAATTGCTTCTGTTAAAATGTTATGAGATTTAATCAGGTTTGAAAGCAATCTTTTCCATGTAAAAATCGATGTTGAGATTTTGATATTAAATCGTACACAGTGTCTTGTAATCCAATCTATGATCAGTGACGGATCCATGATTTTTTGTTGTTTGATATTATGACCATATAAAGTTTAAACTCCCCTTAATTTGAGGGGGCTACAAATTTTATATGATCATAATTTTTGAACGCTATGTAACTTAAAATTTATTGATGAATATAAGTATAGTTAAGAATGGTACAAAAAATGTTTTATCAACTTGTTGCCCCTCACCTTTGGGGCGGGAGAAGGAGGTGGATGAAGTCAAAGGGCTTTTTTGTTTCCGGTTTCCAATCATTGCAATTTGACATCGCAAACAACCTCGTTATTTGACATAAGGATAAACTTACAAATGTTTGGAGTTTGCTCCATGTCTGGAAGTTAGCTATCTCAAACAACAAAAAGTACTGTATCCGTCACTGATCATAGATCATATTAACATTGTGTACAATCTAAGATTGCTTCTAACAATGCCGCATCAGCTAACAAACGATAATACGAGACTTTAAGAACAAATAAATCTCTTGATAAGTTGACGAAAGTTTTTCAAAAAGACGGCTTCACAGTTGGCAGATCAACGGTCAAATATTATCTTGCACGATCATACTTTCACATAATAGATGGCAAAAATGATGATTAAAAAAAACAGCCAAAAATCAGATCATTAGTGTTCTTGTAGGATTCATCATAACAGACAAAAATCTTTAAAAACCGTCCTGATTCAATTTTTTGTTTTTGTTTTAATTGAGAATTTGGAGGACATAGATTCATTCTTAAAACCAGTAGAAGTTGCTTTAGTGAGTCAAGATGACGAAGCAAAAGTCTCATTTGGTCTCCCAACAGTTCCGTTGATCATAGATGTAGTATATAAAGATAACCTGATCACAATTTTGTCATTGTCAAAATTTTTTGAAAATGTCCTCACCATTAATTTACTCCATCAGTCTATGGTGGGCTAAAAATGTGTGCAACTCAGATACAACCTTCAATAAGTTCAGCAACACAATTAAAATCTTTTCCTCAAGAGAACATGCAAAAATATTTTTTCACGCAAAAGTTTATAAAAGTTCTAATTTCAAATCATTTTGTTGAATTTAAATGCCAATAGTTATAATGCTTATCAAAACACAAATAAAATTATTTTCTCGCTTTTTTTTTTTTAATCCTTTATTATTTTGTCACAAATGCAAGTATGTACACTCCTTGCACGATTATTTGTCAGTCGATTTATGAAAAATGAAGGATTGAGATTGGTAACATAACATGAGTGTTCAAAAAATTTATAATATAAACAACTATTATATTCATATATCGTTTATTTTATGTACTGTAAAAAAAAAATTGGAGGGGATTTTTTCATGTGGGGATTTTTTTGTGGGATTTTTTCCTTCTACCTAAAATACTTCGATACATCAGTATTCGGCATTACTAGGAAGCGGTTAGTTAGCGGTTAGTAAAAAATAATGTCCTACTACGTTTTTATTAGATTTGCATGTATTGTTAATGACTCACATTCTTTAGTTAATTTGCGGAATCCATTTCATGGTTTAATTTATTTAATTGACAACCGGTGGGTGGAAATACATACTTTTAAATCTGATTTTTCCAAGTTTCCTCCAACACTACGAATAGTTACATAGTTTTTTTTTAATTTTAAGCTTTTAATTTCTTCAAATCTAAAGCCATGTACCTGTGAGAGAAATAATTTTAAGCTTTTAATTTCTTATATTCTAAAACCATGTTTCTGTGAGAGAAATAATTAAAAGTCAACTTGACACAAAATAAAAAATCGTTTAAGTTTCTCAAAATTGTTTAAATATGTTTCCAATAATTTTGTTTAGAGTGCATTAATATGCGTGCTAACAATGGTATTTGAAGTGTCTAAGTTATAATCAGATTTTTAAAACTTAACTTTTCGTTTTATTTTATTTGTTTAATTTTAAAATTAAAGCGCATAAATATCTGTATAGGCGTTAAAAACACAAATTTGAACATTAACCATTATTAAAAATTATCTAAAAAAATTTTTTAATATCGTACTTAGAATACAAAAAATCAATTTAAGGTTTATGCAAATTAAATAAAACTTCCTGAAAATGAATCAAAACTATATTTTTAAAACTAAACAACATCGTTATGGTCAATTTAAAAATTTATCTGCGGTTCACAGTGGTGAACGCTGAATTTGAGTTTATCCAACACTAAAGCAAACTCAATTTAAAATTATTAACGAAAAAAAAGAATGATTTAATTTAAAAAAACATATATTATCAGCGCAGAGGTTTTAAGAATCATTTAAATTATTTATAATAATATTTTAATAAATTGAGTATAGAATTTATTAAAATTGTATATCTTAGTAGTTCGTAAAGCGAAACTAGCGAATAATCTTTCAATTACGGATCTAAACTTTCGTATTTTACAAGGGGGGAGGAGGAGCAGGAGCAGGAGGAAAAACTAAAAACTCGGCATATATATATATATATATATATATATATATATATATATATATATATATATATATATATAGTATTTACACCTGATGATTGCATATATATATATATATATATATATATATATATATATATATTGTAATAACTTACTTGAATAAAATTATTTTGTTATTAAAAGTTAATCAGTAACAACTATATTATTTATTACAAATATTTAATTAGTAATAGTTTAATGAGTAGATTTCTAAAAACTTTATTAGAAAACATAGCTTTAAAAAACAAAAGAAAAAACTTCTACAGTTTGTCGCATTTTAATTAAGACAAACTTGCCTGTTAATTAATAAGAAAAAGCTTAACAAAAAAAACAAACAAATATCAACAGTAAACAACAATAAATACTTAAAAAAAAGTATTTTCAGGGATACTATCAAAATTTATAATGATCCTCGAACGGTCTTTTTTAATTAAACGGAAATGAAAAGCCATTGCTTTTCCGTTTAATAAAAAATACTTGTTTTTTCCCGTCCTTTTATCAATTTTATCATGAGTTCAAACAAAAAAATTAAAATTAAAATGGTTAAACATTATTAACTTTATTTATCCTGTTTTTATTTAGTTAAATATACAGTTTTTTTTTTTTTCATCGGTCCAACAAAAAGTCGAAAAAGAAAAATGCGGGTTGAATCGGACTCGTTTCCAGTCCAAAATAGATGTAAAATTCACGTTAGCACTTAAGGTGTTCGGGGATTATTTTTAGTTTTAAGTGGACGTTTTGCAGGTAAAAAGGCCTTTCGAAGGGGTCATAGTTGGGTAAATGGCATCAAGCGATAACGATCACCGCAGAGATTCAGGAGAAAGAGGCAGTGGGGATCGAAGAGATGAATCGCAAGAAAGAAGTGGTAACTTATTAATTATTTGGTAATCAATGTTTATTAAATAGTTGAACTTGCTAGCTTGCTTTGCCTAAAATAATAGACAAATCATAGAATTACAATAACTACAAATAAATATTGCATATAATTGCATATTAAAACAGTCTTCTACTTTATAATAACTTTTATATATTGTGAAGTTGCGTACTTTTTGCCCTAATAAATGTCTTTATTTTGAATTTTTCTAAAACATGTTTAGATGATGAAGTTTTGTTTAAATTTTTACCATTAACTTTGATCTGTCAAAGAAAAAAAAACTACCAAAATTTGGAAATATTGTTCATTTCAAATATATAGTTTTTATATATTTTTAAATACATTTAGAGGGTGGTTTGTAACTTCAGTAAAGTTGCAAAATCTCGCGTGTGCACTGCACTACACCACGCTTATCAAAATTGTAAAAGCAATGCTATAAAACATGTTTCATCTTTTTCAAGAATTTCAACTTATATATATATATATATATATATATATATATATATATATATATATATATATATATATATATATATATATATATATATATATGATAATGAAATATTGGATAATTCTGTTAGGAGTTCAAACTAAAAAGTATATTTTATATATGCTACCATTATACTTGCCATTTTATATATAAAGACAGTGTACAGAAGTACACTTACACAATATAAGTTTAAATAAAATAAAGTCAAAGTGCTATTTTTATTGATTTCATTTTTATTATATTTCGACTTATTTTAAGAAAAGTCTTTCATTTGAAAAAAAAATTAGTTAAGAATTATTTTCTTTGTATTTTACATCTCAAACCATTTTGCAAGCCATTGTTTTTAAACAATTTGTTACTTTATGACATAAATTATTCCTAAAAAGTTTATGAAATGAAAGTTTTGCTTTAAAAATTGCAGAATCAGAAAAGTTGCAGGTCAAAAAATGGGATGCCCTGGAAAGAGAAATGTAGTCAGTTATTTTATTGATCTTTTTAAGTATTTTATTACTCAGAATAAAAACCTGCCTGATTTTAGAGTAATGGAACTTGAATTTCATGAAATTCAAGGCGTGTGAAACAGCTCCATATTTGGTAATTTTTACCTAACGGTCTGATTTTTTTCTGCATTAGTATATATTTTTTACAAATATACAAATGTAAATAATTTTAAAATGAGAAATTTATACATTTTGTTTTTGCAAAAAAATATTTTAAAGTAAAGTAGTTTTATCTTTATGTTACTGTTTTTTAACCTTTTATGGATTTATGATATAAATAGTTTATTCCCCAGCTTAACAGACTTATTTATGGCTATATCAAGCTCTTCAACTGATAGCAGGAGGTTATCAAGAATATTGGTCGGCCAGGAAACTCAGCTAATCTTGTACAAACCTTTTTTAAATAGACAGGAATTGAAATAAGTGAACTGTATGAGATCAAAAGCATCTAAAAAATTTCTAATTGCAATGTATTGGGCCTCAATGCTATTGTGTTTAAAAACTAGGTTTTATTAATTTCACAACGAATTAGTGTGTTTTTAAAATACCACCAGTTAACAAAAATAATATTAATAAAAATTCGCACAATCAGTAAAGATAAAAAACCTTCTTTATAGTTATTCTTTGTAATTATGTAATTATATAGTTAATTATTTGTAAAATTCTTTTCGCACCGATTGTTTAAAAATGTCCTTAATAACTAAACAAAATATAAAAATTTTAAACTTTAAAAGAGTAGCGCAATTATAAATAGTCAACCAAAATAAAAAATAAAAAAATTTCATTAAGAAAACAATACCTTGGGAATATTTAATAACATTCCGTGTATTTAATTTTTTCTCAATGAGAATTAAGGTCAGCATTCGGCAATACCAACCTAACTGCCTACCTGAAAATGTTTAACGTTGGCAAAAACTTGCCGACCTTGTTTTTATGTTTTATGGTCAGACCTTTGTATCAAATTATTTTTGCCGACCTGATGCCAATTTAAAAAAAAAATGAGGTCGGCAAATTATTGCGGACTTCATTTTTCCTAATTCCAAGGTTTTTATATATATATATACTACCGACAAAAAGTTTGAGGCAGGGTAAAAATTATATGGGAAGAACTTGACAGAAAAGTGCGAGAAACGCAACCATCTTCTCGAGAAAGCCTTTGGAACATGTTGGAAGAACAATGGAATGCAATACAACCCGAAATACTACGTAAATTGATCAATAGAATGCCAAAGATTTGTGCCGCTGTAATAAAGAATAAAGGAGGATATTTTGACGAATCAAAAATTTAATTAAAATAACAATTATAATTAAGAATTTAAAATAAAAAAATGTTTAATGTTTATTAGTTTTTGTATTCATTATCATTAAAGTACAAATCATATTAGAAAAAGTTTATTTATTTAGCAATTTTAAAAAATTTAGTACCTGCCTCAAACTTTTTGTCGGTAGTGTATATATATATATATATATATATATATATATATATATATATATATATATATATATATATATATAATTAACATATAACATTTAAGAGAAAGAATAGTGAACTCACTAAAATTTATAATTGTCAATAAATAAACAAACTATCAATAAATATTAAAAAAGCTAAACGGAACCCCTCTTTTACCCAGTTTCAAAAAAATCTACTTTCGATTATACCTCAGGCCTTGTTTTAAATAAAAAAGTGCTTAATGCATTAGCTTAACCCGATTTTGACGTCATAAAATTATCTTTATTTTTTTTTATAGACGTTAAGTGTTTTAACTACCTCAATAAATAAATAACTGCAAACTAGTTCAATTTAACAATTAACTCAAAAAACTATAAGCGTTTTAAATGTAAATTTATTACGAAAATTTTGTAATGTTTTCAATTGTTATTTTATTATTAATTTTAGTTCAATATTATTTAGTAAAATATATATATATATATATATTTATATATATATATATATATATATATATATTTTAATTATTTCTGAAATTTGTTTTTGAATAATTGTTTTTAATCGTTATTGAATAAAAAATAATGATTTTTTTTATTTTTAAAAATTTCTAGAGTAAACAAAAAATATTAACATTGATAAACACAAACCCATGTTAATTACTTAAACAACGATTTTGTTTTGACAAGCAAAGAAAAATTTAGGTTTTTAAATTCTTTTTAAACTTATCTTGTTTAGCGTTTTAACTTGCATTTTATAAAAATATAAAAAAGTTTTGTCTGCTTTGAGCATATTTTTGATACATTGTTTAGAACGCGTTCACCAGGAATTTAATTCATAAATTTTTTATGTTATTGTAAAAATATTTTACTTTTTAAACAAATCACAAAGAAACAGAGCTATAGAGAAAAATCATTTTTAACGATTAAATCTTTTTTAAATTTTAAGAAATTAAAAAAAAAAATTAAATTTAGTATAAAAGTCTTAATTATGCAAACTCTTATGTTAATTATTCTTAAAACAAAAAAAAAACAAATACTTCTACACAAAACTTAAATTGTGCAAACTTAAAAAAATACTCAACTGAAATAATTTAAGTATATTTAATAATTTGAATCGTATCTGTTTATAATAAATTTGTTTATTAAAAATTAAGTTCCTAAACTTATCAACAAACTCAAAAGTATTTTTATTCTATGTATAATTACAAAACTCTTTTTTTTTGTTTGTAAGCAATTTAATTTAATAAAATAAAAAAAGAATAAATATGAGGTAATCTTTGTTAAGAACAAATTTAATTTATTTATTGAACTATATTTTTATTTTAATTATATATCAACTTAATTAAAATATAGTAACATGTTAAAATATTTTAACATGACTTGTGTTATTTATAAACTGTTAGGCAGTTGCCCTTACGGCACCATTGTTTTTGAATAATATTTTATTTTGATGAAGATCACATAGCTTACATTTGATTTTAATAACGTAAATCTTCTCTTTTTCTGTGATCATTGCATCGGCAAAGTTTTTAAAGTAAATTTTTTGTCCTTCAAAATACAATCCATATTCGAACTTTAATCAATTTAGAGATAGAAGAAATATACAAGGTTTTTATATACTAGTTTGTTTTGTTTTATAAAGAAAAATACATATTCATTAGTAAAAAAATGGAGACTGTCATTAAACTAAAACGTGCCTTAGTATTAATTTAACGGAACCTGTAATGTGCGCATGCATAATGAAACTTTCGTTATATAAATATATTCAACATTATATTAGTGTCATCAGCGGATGTTGTAGTCTACTTATGATTTCTTTACCTTATAATATAACTTGATTTATGAAAAAAAAAATTTATTGAATCGCATGCAGAAGAAATTTAACAAATTGTCTTCATATTGCGAGTAACAGGTATTTTTTTTTTTCTGTGCCGACCCCCTCCCCTCGCATAACTTAAAGGTAAAGGTATCTATATACCTTTAACTAATAAGAAAAGCAAAGACATTTTTTTTAATATCTTGAAAAAATGTCTTGATATTTTTGTCATCATGATAAGAATATTAAGACATTTTTTGAGATATTAAAAAAAATGTCAATTCTTAATTACAAATTTTTTTGCAAATGTTTTTTTATTATAAATTCAGTAAAAAATTCTTAAAAAATCTATATTACAAAAAACATCTATATTCTGTATTAATAAATATGGAATATAGATTTTTTAAAAGTTTTTTACTGAAAACTTTAAAATATTACTACTTTTTATTAAAAACATTGCAAAAAATTTGTAGTCAAGGATTGACAAACAATTTTTCATGTTGCTAAATATTTGGATAAAAAGTTTAGCGCCAAATTAATTGCTATAAAAAGGAAAGATATATAGCAATAAAAAGTTACAACAATTATTTTTAAAGTAAGTTCTTTTTTTTTAATAAATATCTTTACATATCGTTATTTAAAAATTAATGTGGTTTTTTTAAAAATTAATTACTTCTTTTATGTTACCGCTAATTTAAAAGTTAAAAAATGATAAAAAGTAGCTTAACCAAAACAGCTCTACGCGTACGTAAAAATCGCTTAAGGCGTACGTAAATCGCTCTAGGCGTAATGCTTTAAAACAAGACCTGATACCTTTGTTTATTGATAATACTGAAATAAACAGAGCTCAAGTTATCTTTGATGTTTACTTTGATGAAAACCTCACATGAAAAATTCATGTCAACAATCTAAACAATAAGATTGTTAGAAGTATAGGAATGCCATACAAATTTATTTTTATTTGCCAGAATATGTACAAGGCAAATTTATATTGAATACTATTCCGTCAGGATTTCTAGAAGATCACAGTATCTTATCATAAAACCATATACAATTTATATAACAAAAAAAAAAAATATATTCTTCGCAGTATATATAATTAACAAAATTAAGTATAAAAAAAACTTAAGTACTAAATATAGATATAAGTATTTTTTGTTGAAAAGATAATTTCTTTTTCTTTCCAAAGAATATTACTATTTAAAAGAAAAACTAAAATCAGAAAAATTAAAATTATTTTATTCCAAAGAGAAAGACCTTGATAAGAAATGCAAAACTGGTCATTTTTAGATAGGCAAAATGGCTCTTCGATTTAACTGGCAATTGATTATATATTTGTTTTTAGGTTTCAAATTATAAAGATTTATAAATGCACTAGGTGATATATTTTCTTTATACTTAAACATAAAACATTCAAAACATTTAGTTTGTAAATTATCAAAGCTTTCATTCTTTAACAAATGGTGTTGAGCTTGAAAAATGATTCATAAAATTAATTGTGCAAGCTGCATGTTTCTGATGTTGGTAGAGAGATTTAAATTTGGTTTTGTGAGCGCTTCTCCATATTATATTTGCATAATTTAAAGGGATCCCCAACTGCCGAGACAAGTTGTGTTTATATTAAAGAAAATGTTTTAAAAAAATATTAGGGTTAAATTTTTTTTATTAAAACTATATAATGAATGCACACCATAAAAGCTCGCCATCTCCATTTTTTTTTTTTGGTTCTCAGAGTCTATGTTAGCCACAATCTGCAGACTTGATAATTTATTCCATGCGTGTTTAATTCATAACAGTTTCGCCAAATGACATTAAATTGACGTCACATAACATTTGTTATATATTAAATTTTTATAAAGATAAAAATTTAGTATATAACAAATATTTACAGTAAACATAGCGGTTTAAACTAAATATAAAATAAATACAAAAGAATAATTTTACAAAAGTGTATAAATAAATTTGAAGTATAAACTGAAAAAAATCAAGTGACTTGAATAAAACATAAACTGAACTAAGTAGAAAATAAATATTAAACAACTTATTTTACTAATCACCATTCAAATCAAACTAAGTTAAAGTTATAACTAATATTTGTACTAAAATATACAAGAAATAGTTATAATATAGATATAAAAACAAAGAATCGCATTAAATTGTTCGCTATCAGCCGAACAAAAAATTTTTTTGTAGCAGCCGCACATTTTTTTGAATAATGTTTGAATAGCATAACATTGACAATAAAAATTCGATTATAATAAAGTTTTAATTAAACAATAAGAAAGGCAAAGTGCTTAAAACTATTGTTTTTGTAAGTATTAACTAAAACATTAAGTCTAAAACATACCTCATTTAATGAATAAAAGTAATATTTTTTCTTCAAAATACTTTGGTAATTACTTAACTAAATACTTAACACTTCTACAAGTTAATTTTACAGTGTTAACGCTGTTTTATTTTATAACTAAATTTAAAGTTTTTTTTTATGAAGGATTATTCAAGATTTTTTAACTAAGTGATAACTTTTTTATAATTACACGATATAGCTCTTATTCTTTCTTGATTGTATAGAGAATTAATTTAACCTCCAGAAAAAACAAATTCTGTGTTGAGAATAGAAATTTATGAACAAAACAAAATAAATTGTAAAGCATACTCGAAAGCTGCTACAGTGGCTTGCATTAGTGAAAGAGTTAAACCACAACTAAATGTAAATTAAATATAAAATAAACGACTCTATTGAACCATATGAACCAAATATAAAACAAAAAAACGCATCATACTGCCTTTATTTTTTCTCTGCCTATGAACTCTAATAATCACAAAATATGTATAATTGTTTCATGATTTTGGCTGGCTTCTACAACAAAGTAATAAAAAAACAAGTAAAAAAAAAAATTATAAATATAAAAATATATTGTCGGGGATAGTGCAAATCCGCGTAACTAGCGTTGGCTACTATATTTGGATATTATTAATTTTAACACCAAATATTTATTGTTGAGATTTAAAAAAACATGAATAATACTCTTTTTACTAAAATGAACCCAAATTCTGTTAAACTTAAAAATAAATAAAGTTTTAAACTTCTCCAATAAAAAAAATATACTGTAGATACGCGGTATTATAAAATGCTAGTTTCGCGGTTTTGCACTATCCCCGGCGATATATATATTTGTAAAAATTTTTACTAAATTACAAATAGTTTTTGTGATTTAGTAAAAAGTTGTACCAATATTTGATTTTCTGAAAAAAAATTTTGTGATGATGTCATATACCAAACTGTTATGAATTAACAAGCATGGAATAAATTATCAAGTCTGCAGATTGCGGCTAACATACAGAAACAAGACTTAAGTTGAGTAGAGAAGTTAAATGATTCGGGTTGTCTGGAAAGCGAGTTGGAGAGTTGACTATTTGAGTTAAGGATTGAGATAGGCAAAAGTTGTGGGCTTTAATGCCTGCAGAGTCACAGACACTAGAGCCAAGCCATTCATTGTGATAAACAAGGTTGAAAAAAATAGTTTGAAGATATTTTGATTTTTCTCAAGAGTGGGTTTACAACACATTCATTAGAAAACTTAAACATGTAATTTTATATATCAATAATATACTTTTATATTTTCAATTTTTATTTTAAAATAAGATTTTAAATTTAAAAAATTTTGCATTCTGCGGATTTCATACACATACAACTCTAATTTTCGACAGAACACAATATGTTCCTAATTTAAATTTTTGTTTTAAATTCTGGTATGAGTATGTATATATAAACAATTTTTAATGAAGGAAGTCTATTTTATTCTAATAAGTATTTTTTATCATTAAAAACTCAAGTTTCTTGAAGATTCATGGTTTTTGTGCTACTTGTTTCTCAAGTTAATTTATGTCATCTGCATGTTTTAAATTTGTTTAAATTTTTTTATTTTATTTTATCTTATTTTTATCTTTATTGCTTTGTGATTCCATTGTATATTCTTAAACTTTCCTTGTAATATATTTTGATCTGCTATGTGAGTGCGTTTGTGCCCAGATAAAATATTATCAAATACTTTTTAATTAAATTGCTTTTCCATAATGCTTTTTGATAAGAAACTTAATTGTTCTTGGAGCAGCTTAACAACTAATAAAAAGTCATCATAGGTGATAGTGGATTGTTGTGAGGACTTTCCGAGTTAAGTAGAAACTTAAAAATATTAGCTTATTCTCCTGTAGACGGTTTTTTGTATTTTTATCAACAATTATGATTTTCATCAATTATGGTTATTACTAAAATAAACATCCCATTTATTAGTCATTTTTGACATTTAACAGATCTTTTCCTTTTTCAATATATTTATTGACATCTGTAAATAAATGGGCTGCCTTGTAATTTTAAGAATTTAAAGGATTAAGATAAAATAATAAAACTTTGTTTCAACATTTTTTTTTTAATTTAGGAAATCGTGATGATAATGATGAGCTTGCTTCAAAATCTTTAAGAATTCAATCTAAAAGATATTATGTTGATGTCAAAGAAAATTCAAGAGGAAGGTTCATTAAACTTGTAGAGGTAAAATTTTTGAAAAAATCTATTTTTAAATGTCTGTTTTTAAAACTCTAATTTTCTGTTTTTTTTTTTTTTTAAGGATTAAATATTTCTCCTAATTTTTTAAATTTGAAATGAAAATTAGAAAGCGTATCACTTAAGTCAGAAAATCTTAAACACTTATGTTATAAAATTATCTGTTTTTTATAGAATAAATTTTTGTATAACTATTGTGACCAGCAAAAAAAAGTACTAGGATGAAATGAAAAAAAAAAATGTTACAAAACAAATAATTTTTTTTTGGTTTAAATAAGTATCATCTCTTAATGCTTTGTTGTAAATAAGTTAGGCTATTTTCATTTGTTGTTTTGTAAAGCATAAATGACTTTCTTGTTTTGTAAAACATAGATAACTGTTATCACTCGATGGTAACAAGTTGTTTTTGTTTTACATGTGTGTGTGCCTGTTACATGTTTTACAGTTTAATGTGTCACTAGGTCGATGCTTAAAAACTATATTTTAGTAAATTCCTGGGGCACCTCCTATGTATGTTCCTATTAATGTTCTAATGAAGTGTGCCAAAAATCTTCAAAATATTCCATTATTTAGTGATGCCACATGGCCTTAAAAGATTCTATTGGTCATTAATTTAAAAAAGTTTGTTTAAAGTATGTCATGTTCGGTATCGAATAAACCAAATTTATAAAAAAAAATATATAAAATGAAAGATAATAATCAAGGCTCAAATTAAGTGTTTGCTAATTGTGAGATCTAGAAATGCTTTTTAAGCATAAAGGGATTCCCAAGTGCGGAGACAAGTTGTGTTTATATTGAAATTATAATAGTTGTGTTTATATTGACAATTTGTGTTTATATTGAAAGTTTAATAAACATGAAACTTATATTTTAAGGATTATTTATGATATGAACACAACTTGTCTTGGCACTTGGTGATCACTTTAAGAATATCTAAAATAGGTTTGCTAAGAACCATTATGGTATCTTTACCACTAGGTTCTTTTTTTTTGTCCTGGAAGATGTTTTATCGCCTCAGTTTTGCAACTGAGTTAAAGTAACCCATAGCTTTATTGTGTGTATATCATCACCTTTTAGTAAACTTGGTAATATTCATTTTCACCCTGCTGTCCATAGTCACTCCTGTTCAGTCCTGCTGCCCAGTCACTCCTGTTCATAGTAACCATACATAATAAAGACTTGTAGCTGATACAAATTTTTAAAACCTGTAAAATAGACAGATAAGCATGAGTATCAATTTCATAAACAAACCAAGTTTCCAACATGTTTTCTAATTTAATGAGCAAACATATTGCAAACTTACATGCTACTTAATGTGTATATTTGATGGTTTAAGGTTGTATGCACTTCTGAGGACAAGTCCACGGTCTAGTAAACTGTAACATAATTTTTTTTTTTTTGCCTCCTAAATTTCCACTTCCAAACTTTAAATAAAGTTTAACAATTTTTTTTATTTTGTAGCCCTGTATTTTTTAACGCCCTTATTTGTAGCCCTGTATTTTTTAACTTTAAGATAAAGAGACAGCTCTTTATTACTTAAGAAACTTTTGTTACTAGATTATTAAAATAGAGCCCTTGAAATGAAAAGCTTTTTAATTATTTTTATAAATAATATTATTCTAAGTTATTTATAGTTATTAAAGTTACTTATTATCATCCTTATATTATTTTTTAAATTGTTATTAAAAAAGAAAATCAAATCAAATTACCACAAAAATTGTTTTAATAAGGGGTCGTTTATAAAGTATGTATGCTTTTTTTTTTATCTGACTTTCCTCCCCTCTCTGCATTTTGCCATATGCTTTTTTGACTACCCTTTACCTCCCTAAAAGTACCTACAGTTTCAACCTACCAACCCAGCATTTTATGATGTTTTTTAGTGTCTTCATATTTTTACAATTGACCTACTGCCCCTCCCCCATATCATATACTCCATTTGCAAACCCTCTCTTCCTCTCCAAGCGTACATACTTTATGGACGATCCAGGGTGTAGTTTTTTTTTAATTATTAAAAATTTTTTTTTACTATTTGCTAATTTTCTTTTCTGAAACTTTTATCTGAAAATGTTGAATATTGAAAAAAGTTCTTTGTTGAAACGAAACTTGGTGCAACTGAAACTCACAACAATAATCAATTAAACTATAACCATTACAACGCATACAAAAACAAAAAAGTTTTAATTTTTAAAAATTTAAAAAAGCAGATGTTATTTGTTTTTGATTTAAAAAAATAAAAAATAGCTGTTTTACTGTTACTATTAAAGGGGATCCCTAAGTGCTCCTAACATATGATCTCATATGAAAGAGCATAAAAAAAATTTGTAAGTTTTTTTTCTTTTTCACTAAATTGTAATAATAAATGTGCATGCTAACAAAAAGCAATTGCCAAAATCACTGATAAATAACTCCATTTTGATTTTATATTTTAACCATTGAAACTCGATTGTTAGTCGTTAAAAATCACGTTAGTACGTCACAACAACTTTAGAATATCTACTTCGATTTGCAAGTAAAAAAAATTTGTGATTAAATGGTTAAGTTTTAATCAAGTTTTTTTAATTAGTTTTGCAAAAACAGTATAATAGAATTCGGTTGAAAGGCGTTGTTAAAATAAAGTTATTAAGTAATAGTTTTGAATAGTTTAGAACTTATAAAAAAGTCTTACAGGGCTCGTATTAAGCGTTTTAAAAAAATTGCTGACTTTTTTATACTCTTTGAAAAAAAAACTAATAAAAAAGAATTATTTATTATTATTATTAATTCTAATAATTATTAATTAATATATTATTAGTTAATTCTTTTTTATTAGTTTTTTTTTTCAAACAGTATAAAAATGCTAATAAAAACCAGCATTTTTTTTACTTTAACGTTTTTTAACCTTATTTTAAACATGAAGTATAATTCGATTTATTTGAACCAAATTTTTTTGTTTCATTTTTTATTGGAAAACAATTGAAATTGAATAGAAGCATCGACTTAATAACCATTTAAATGAAAAACTTAATTATGTTTAAACTTTTACTAGTCCTTTATTCAAGAAACAATAAATTATAAAAACGTCGTTTTTAAAAATCTAATTTTTTATTAAGTTTTTGACGATGTTTTTTGATTTATTGACGATAATTTTATAATTTATTAATTCAAACAATTTTATTTATTTGCTTCATTTTATTTTAAACGCATTTTATGTTATTAAACTGTATAAACTGTTTTACATTAACACAAGCTATTTATATTGTTAAGACAACTTTTTGTTTTATAGCTTTTTATAATAACAATTAAATACTCATTAAAAACGCGTGTTTTATCGTCAGCGTGATGGTATTAAACAGTTTTCTAATTAATAACTGTTTAATATGATCACGTATGATCATATTAAACAGTTTTCAAATATGACTAATTAAAGTGGTTATCAAATATGACTAATTAAAGTGGTTTAAATAATGCAGTGACGGGTCCAGGAATTTTTGGAGAAGGATGATGAAATATTTTATATTTTGTAGCATGTTTGTGTTTCCTAAAAAAAAGCAAAAAAACAGGGTCCTCAATTTCTATGACATTTTCAAGACTTTCAGATTCTGGTGGGGGAAGGGAGGGATGCATACCCCCATCCTCTACCTGGATCCGTCACTGAAATATAGTAATGTTTGCCTTTTACTCTTTTTTACTTTTACTTTTTTAAGTATCATGTTAAGCAAAAACAATTACTTAATAGTATAAAAAAAGTTACTTGCTCATTACACTGTAACTGCAACTTAAACTTTAAATTATAAATTAAGCTGTAAATTATAACAGTAACTTACGCTATTTTAAACTCCGCCAAACAAGGAAATCATAAGATAACATTTAAATATGAGAGATAGTATGTTAAAAGATAACAATTACGTGCTAAAGAGACAGTTTTATACTAACGCAAGCCCCTCCCTCCATTACCGCACATTGGCGCGAGTTATAAAAGAAAGAGGAGGGAGTGTAGCACAAAAAAAAAATTTTTTTCACAATTTTTTTGCGTTAATTCGAGCCCTGATTTTTTTGCGTTAATTCGAGCCCTGTCTTAATTTAATTTCTAATAAAATGTCTATTTAACCTTATCAATTTGAACCAAAAAAATATAGCAAAAGTAACATAAATGTTAATTTAACTAAAGCATTTTACAATAATTTTTTTTTTTTTCCAAGCGAAAATGAGAATAACCGTCACTTTCGAAACCATAAATTTATTTTTGTACTAAGGAAATAAATAAACTTTTATGTGTCTACATCAATACCCGTTTGTTAAAAACTGACTAAAAAGAGTTTAAAATTTGACTTCTATTCGTTTTTGGCCATGAAATTGCCCTTATAATATAAATATATAAATAAAAATTTAAAAAAGAATTTTAATATACAAATATATTTTCACAAAATGCTACAAAACTGATTCTTGTAAGTAGTTATGTGTTAGTTAAAAAAAAACAACTTTACTTTTAAATTTAATTACCAACTAATAGGTTTGCAATAATGACATTTTGTCTACTTTGTTTAATTTGACGTACAAACGTTAGTTTTTTGAGGCAGTAGAGTCAATAAACTTTGGACAAGACACATTTTTTTTAATCGAAGAAAAGCGTTTTTTTGAAAATTAAATTTGTTAGTGTGTGTTCATTATTACGTTTTACAAAAAATAATATACATCAAACATTTTTTTTTTAATGCTCTTACATATGAGATCATATCTTTATAGCACTTAGGGATCCCTTTAAAAACAGAAACCCTAATTTAAAAAATTTATTTCTATGCAAAACTACTCTTACTATTGTTGCTTATTATTTTAAATCTTTCTTTGTCTTAAAAGGGTCTTCCAAATGGCACTAAAAATAGATTATCGTTTCCAATGTCTGTAGTGCCTGAAGTCAGAGATAAACTTTCAAAATTTGCTGAATTCTATAGCAAACTTGGTAAGTTTTTTTTTTAGGAATTTTTTATTATTAATTTATTTGAAATTATAGTTTTACTAAAATATATTAAATCAACTCAATAGCAACAAGATAAAAGTCAAAGTTGTTTATTTTTAATTTTTAGATACAGAGGCTGAGCGAGAGGTTCCTGAAGATGGAAAGTTGCATAGGTAAGAAAATATTTTTAATACTAGTCTCTGTTTCTAGGATTAAAAAGTTTAAAAAAAAGGAGGATTGTAGTTAGGAAGAGAAGGAATGTAACTCAATAAACATATTTACATCATTAGTTTAATTACATCAGTTGTGTATTTTAAAATTATCACATTGTAATTTAATTTGAAACCACATTAAAAATAGTTGGTGTCTTATTTTTTTCAAATTATTTATAAAATATCTTTGAACTAAACAAAATTGTTATAAAAAAATTTATCAATAAAATTTAAATGTTAAAATAAAAAAAATTCCATACAAATACTTTATCTTTTTTAGACTTGTACTAATATTTTTAAAAAAAATTAATTCCAGCCTGCTGGAAAGCAGCATCTGTTATCCCTATTTTTAAAAATTCTGGAGAGTGATCCGATTTGTCTAACTACCGTCCCATTAGTCTTCTTCCTATCATAAACAAGGTTTTTGAATCTTTAATTAACAAACACTTAATCTCTCATCTCGAATCTCATAACCTACTTTCTGATCATCAATATGGATTTCGATCTTCTCATTCTATGGCTCTCAATAAACTCAATTTTTTTCAGCCAATCGTTATCGCAATAGTTCAGACCTTCCTATATTTATGAACGGTAATGTACTCGATGAGTCTCCTACCCTTCATCTTCTAGGATTAACTCTTCTGATCTTTCTTGGAAACCGTATATCAAATCCGTTGCAAAATTAGCATCTGCTAAAGTTGCTTCTTTTTATCGAGCTCGTCACTTTCTTACTCTGGATTCTATCCTCTATATCTATAAATCTCAAATCCGGCCTTGTATGGAATACTGTTGCCATATCTGGGGCAGATCTTCTAATGATGCCCTTTCTCTTTTAGACAAGGTGTAAAAACGCATTGTAAACATAGTTGGACCTGCTCTTGCGGCCAACCTTCAACCTCTGTCACATAATGTTGCTTCTCTTTCTCTTTTTTCATGTCATAATGTTGCTTCTCTTTCTCTTTTCTACAAATACTATAATGGCCACTGCTCTAAAGAGCTAGCGTCTCTTGTGCCATCTACTAAAATTTATTCTCGTGTTACTCGTCATTCAATTAAGTCTCATCCTTTTTCTGTTACTGTTCCTAAGTGCTCCAAAAACTCTTATTCGTCTAGTTTTTTCCTCGAACATCAGTTCTTTGGAATTCGCTTCCTTCATCTTGCTTTCCTGATTCATATAATTTGCAATCTTTTAAGTCGTCTGTCAATCGTTATCTTGCTCTACAATCTTCATCTTTTCTCTTCCAGTAACTTTCAACACTAATTAGTGGTTGCTTGCAGCCTTGTTGAAAGCGAAGATAATTAAAAAAAAAAATTTTTTTTAATTGAGAGGGCAATTGCTTGTGGTTAAATTTCTTAACAGTCAAAAAGTAGAAACTAACTATCAACACTTTGACAAAATTTTTGCATACTACTCTTTAGCTAGTTAATCATTTCTAATTGATGTTCATTCTATGATCAATTCAACAAATTAATGATAAAAAAACTTTTTTTAAAAAGCTATTTCAAAATTAAAATAATTATCTTTTTATAAATTTGTTATATAAAATTTACTAAAAAAGTTTTTATTAAATCTAATAACACTACAGGTTGCAGGGTTGATTAGGGTTTATCTGCAATGCAATTTCAATTTCAATTAAATTAAATAAAATGCAATTTCAATTAAATTCAATAAAAAAATTTATATATTTATTAATATTTAATAATAAATTTAATTTAGATATAAAATAAATTATAGTTAAAAATTTTAAATAAAATATTTCACAAATTTTTTTCACAATTAATTATTGCCCAATATTTTCTGCATAAACTATTTTAAAAGATTGTTTAAATTATCTAATTGAAAAAGGTTTTGATGTATCATTAATGCCTAAACATTAAGACAATAATTTGCCTTATCGCAGAGCACCGTGTTACAATTTATATATACACATAAATAAGTATGCATATATATATATACACACACACACACACACACACACACACACAAATAAAGAGCAAGAAAATGTGATTAGTGATAATGGTTATTGTCAATAAATTTTTAACCTTTTTTTTTTTTTTGATTACAAGGAATAGTTAAATTGCCAATTTGTACGTAAAGTTCAATGCACAATACTTCTTAACAAGACCTATATATATATATATATATATATATATATATATATATATATATATATATATATATATATATATATATATATATATATATATATATATATATATATATATATATATATATATATATATATAATATATATACATATACATATATATATATATACACACACACACATGCATTGTGTATGCCGTAGTGTGGGCCATAGGAACAAAAATTATATTAGGGAAGCAGTACTACACCGAAATAGTTTTAAGGACCTCTTCTATGTTTTATGGTATACCCATCTTATGAAATTTTTTTTTGCAGACCTCTAAGAGTTTATGGTCGACGATTTTTTGCCAACATCATTTTTCTTAATACTGATAGTTGTGTATATATTCAACCCTTGGAATTAGGGAAAATGAGATCGGCAATAATTTATCGATCTCAATGATTTTGAAGTCGGCAAAAATTATTTGATACAAAGGTCTGACCATAAAACATAGAAACAAGGTCAGCAATTTTTTGCCAACTTCAAACACTTTCAGGTTGGCATTACCAAATGCTGGCCCTAATTCTGAGGGTTGATATATTATTGTGTATTAATTATTGTGTGTATATATTTGTATCGTATTTATATTTGTTTTATTTTTAGATTAAGATCAGCAAATAATTGCCGACCTTATATAATTTTCTAATTATATATATAAATATATATATATATTTATATATATATATATTTATATATATATATATATATATATATATATATATATATATATATATATATATATTTATATATATATATATATATATATATATATATATATATATATATATGTATGTATGTATGTATGTATTTATGCACGTGCATTTGTATTATTTTTATTTTTATATTTTTAATTGTATCATTTTTATAAATTAGTGATGATATTCGATCAGCTCAACGGAAGATCTATTTTGATTTAAAAGAAAATAAGCGTGGAATTTTTTTGCGTGTTAGCTGCACAGCATCGTATGGTTCTAGTCGTCACACAATTGCGTTACCAGCTCAAGGAATAGAAGAAGTTCGTGATGTATTATCTGAATTTATTGAAGAATATGGTCAAGATGAAGAACCGCATGAGACACCAGAGTTTCAAGAGATGAGAGTAGAAAGAAAACGATTTTATTTTGACTCTGGGTCAAATGACCGTGGAGCCTTCCTAAGAATTTCTGAGGTATATTTAGAAATATTTTTAAGTTCTTCATTCATATTACATTATATTAATTTTATGTCTATCTTTTTATTCCAAGGTTACAAGCAAGTATAGAAGTTCTATTACTATTCCAAAGCAAGGGTTAAGCAAATTTAAAGAAATTCTAAGTAAGTTGCTCAGCGTTTATTTATGATTGTTTATGATTTTTAGAAGTTAATTTCCAATCCTCTATTAGGTTCTTAATTAATGTTTTGTAATTTTTTTTCCTTTAAAAAACGAAAAACTTTCTTTTATGTTAAATTTTTATTTTCTTCTATTTTCATTATATTAAAATATAATACAAGACACAAATCAAGTGGTCTATTACTATTTAAGTTTAAAGTCTAAAGCTATCAATGTTTAAATTTATTAATAATAATAAAAATAATAACAGTGTTTTATTATTATTAATAATAAGTACATAGTTGACTGTTTTTCATACTTCTGTTAGCAGTATGCGTTAAGAAAATTCAGTCTTTATAAAATATCCTAGGTCTGGTAGCCATTAGTCTCTTAGACTATTGTAATGAGATTTGATTTATTAATTTCAAGTACAGTGTAGAAATATTTTTTATTGAATAATATTAATTGAATTTTGTGATGAAAACATTCACAGTTTTTAATAAACTGAGAATTTTTATAAAGTTGCGAGTGCTTAATAAAATAAGAATTCCTTGAAATTTTTTAAACAACAAAGTTAGTTATTCCTAGTTCCAGGAATTGTTCTACTTAGCTGAAAATGTGTTTCAAAGTGGTGTGCAATTATGGCAGTCTTTTTGAATCTTGAAAAAAACAAAAACCTTTAATATTGCTTGTACAGTAGTCAAACATTTTATTGCAATTCAATATATGGACTTCAGTATACTTCATTTGCTGTTGATCGTTTTACAGTGCCACCATTACCATCACATGGTAACTTACCATGACTTGTTGCAAAAAATGTCCACTCAGCATCATTTTCAAAATCATCTGTATGGAAACAGATATTGTAAAGGTTTTTGTGATTTTTATACTGTGTAGCACAAATCTAAAAAATTAAAAATCTTTTAAATATTAGCATAATTTTCTTTTAAATGATTAACTATTTGTCTCTAAATAGACAAAAATAATGTCATGCTCATCAACTGATATGAAGCAAAATTTTTTTTTTTTTTAGGCTGGTCATTTTTGTTTAATAAATAGAGGGCAATGGGGTGTAATGTACATTGACTTAGGTGTGTAGTCTGCAAAATCACCTAAGATAATACTCTTTTATAATTTTTGCCTTATCTTTAGTTACATTAGGTATCTTGCTTGACAATGAACTGTTAATTTGTTTATTGTATTTGATAACAAATTCAAAAAGTTTTGAATTATAGGATGTAAAATTTTGTTAAAATCATCATTTTAGATGGATGACTGTTTTTAATCCATGTATTTGCAAATCAAAAGTCTTAAATTTTTTTTTTAATAAAAACTTTCTTAAATCGTTTTTAGAAAGATCATTGAATACAGAATGATCAAAAACCAAATGGAACAAATATAAACCAAAAACATTCTTTGAAAACAATATTTTCAAAGTTATCCTTACTTTAATAAAAATGCAAAAAAAATAAAAATCTTCGCCCCCAGGGCCCTCTCAAACTTTCAGACTAGCTGGGCCCAGCTAGTCTGAAAGTTTGTGAAAAATTAATTTCAATACTCCACTACGGAAAAGTGGAACCATGGCAAAGTCTCCATACATGGAAATCCATATACTTGCAGATCAAAATCTTTGTTTTTTGTAAGATAGGTGATTATTATAGTGTTTATTATAGTTTTTTTTTTTTTTTTTTTTTTTTTTTTTTGTGATATCATTAAGGCCATATGGGTCTCTTAAGCATCAAAATCAGATATATAAAAAATTCCTTATTAATTTAAATTGATATATACAGATACTTAATGAAATAATTTTTTTTATTTCTGATCTTTTTATTGGATTCGCCACCCTTAAAAATAGCCAGATACAAATTTTTAAGTAAAAAAAACCCTCTAAATAAACATTGCAATTCTGAGGGGATTGGTCAACATCTATTTAATGTATAATGGTCATATTTCAGGATCTTCTTGGAGCCAGAAGCTAAAATTTTCAAGGAGTTCTTATTTTACTAAGTACTCTCAACTGTATAAAAATCAGCAAAATCTGAGATATATGGTGACATTTTTAAGAATTTCTGGGTCATTTGACAAGGAATTACCCATGAAGAGGTTACCTTAAAAACATAGAAACAAGATTGACAGGTAGGTCAGCATTGCCGAATGTTGACCATAATTCCAAGGACTGCAGTTAATCTATAGAATAATTTGTCAATAAAAACAGGTTTAAATTCTTATACCATTCTTATTATATGCTTCAGCTTAGTACCTACACTCAATTGCCTTTTATTTTGTTTTTTTATCATTCTCCTTCACAAGATTGCACTCTTTTAAATTAATTTTCTGATCAAATTGACCAAGCCCTTTATTTATTCCATCAATATTGTTGTTATTGGTGACTTTAATGCTCATCATGTTAAATGGCTTGGCACCATTAACCCTGTTACGGATCTGATCTTATTACCTCTTCCAAGGCTGAGGCAGAAATATTTGCAAAGAACTTTTCCCCTAATTCTATTCTTCAATATAATCACTATACCCTTCCTGACATTTTAGTTAAACAAGTTAACCTGATGACATCCAAATCAATCTGGCTTTCGTTGCTCAAGTCATTTTTTCAATTTGACTTTTCCTTTATTTGTGGTCCAGACAACATTCTTGTCATAGTCTAACAAAAAGTTTTGTCCAGAACATTCTTCAGTTTTCTCTAAATTATTTTTTAAGTTTTAGACTGAATATTATTTTCCTTCCTGCTGGAAAATAGCATCTGTTGCTCCAATACTTGAAAACTCTGAAGAACATTCTGACCCCTGGAACATTCTGACCTCTAAAGAACATTCTGACTAATTGAACTATAGTTCAATTAGTCTTCTCTCTATTATCAGCAGAGTCTTTAATAAACAAATTTCTAGCATCTTTTCTTGAGTCTTTTTAATTTTTGACAATCTATATGGTTATCCATCTTCTCATTCTAGGGCTGACTTGTTAACTGCTGTGACTAAAAGATTCATGCATTAGATAAGGTGGCAAGGCAAGCGCTATTTGTCTTGATATATCTTAAGCTTTTTATAAAGTTTGACATGCTGGTCTTCTTCATTAGCTTGCTTCATATCTGGGAACGGTTTTGATATAATTTAATAATTTCTTTTTAATCCCAGTCATTCTTTATTTCTTCAATTCCTGATGAGGTACTCCATGGTTTTTTGGTCCTTTACTGTTTTTTATCTACATTAATAATTTTCCTTACAAGCCTACATCTATAGTGACTCTATTTAGTGTCAACTCAATTTTATGCTCCTGCCTTAACAAATCTTTTCGATTGCTCAGCGTAGTTAAAGAGAGATCCAAAGAAAAATATTATGTTTAGGCCCTTTCGTTTTTATAAAATACTGTTTTATTTTGTGTGCGTTGATTAGTTTTTTTTTTAAAAAAAAAATCACGAATCTCGTTTTATATAGTTTACAAATGTTCGTTGATTTTACTACTGTGATCAAAAAGTAAGGTGAATTTTTAATTTAAACTTCCCACCTTATTCGAATCGTCCAATCTTTTTTATTTTTAAGTTGGTAGGAATGTCATTAACATTTGCGCCTAATTACATTTCAAACTCAAAATTATTATTTTTTTTTTTTACGCTTGTTTCTGAAGTACCAAAAGTGCATTCGGCGATTTTCACGATGTTTAATTTTGTTGAGCAAAGAAGTGCTATTAAATTTTGTTTGCGGAATGATATTTCTGCTGCTGAAACGTATCGAATGTTGCAAAAGGCCTTCGGTGAAGAGACTATGTCTCAAAAAATTGTTTACAAGTGGTACAAAGACTTCAAAGAAGGCCGAGAACGTGTTGATGACTTGGAACGCTCCGGACGACCATCGACTACGATTGATGATCGCCACATCAACAAAATCAAAGAATTGGTGCTTGCAAATTGTCGGTTAACCATTCGAGACCTTGTTGACACGGTTGGAATATCATTTGACCATACATACGACCCTGAAACAACCGACCAATCGAGTGAATACCGTGAAAAAGGCGAGCTGAGACCGAAGCGACCACGTCAAAGTCGCTTAAAAATCAAGGTCATGTTGACTGTTTTCTTTGATTATTGTGGTGTCGTGCACTACGAATTCCTTCCAACTGGCCAAACTGTCAGCAAGGAATATTATTTAAGCGTTATGCGACGTTTGCGTGAAGCTATTCGCAAAAAGAGACCGGAATTATGGGCCAATAACTCTTGGATTTTGCACCACGATAATGCGCCTTCGCACACAGCACTGGTTCTAAGTGAGTTTTTGGCCAAAAACTCTACCCATGTTGCTCCACAACCACCGTATTCGCCCGACTTAGCACCGTGTGACTTCTGGCTGTTCCCAAAGCTCAAGAGACCACTCTGGGGAAATCGTTTTGAGTCCATTGAAGAGATCCAACGTGAATCGGCACGCGCATTGAAGGCTATCCCTACCGAGTACTTTTCGGCATGCTTCGAAGACTGGAAAAAACGTTGGCAAAAATGCATTGGGGCCGGGGAGATTATTTTGAAAGGGACGATACAGATTTGGAAGAATAAATAAAGATTTTTCATCTTATAAAAAAATTCACCTTACTTTTTGATCACAGTAGTATTATCTACGAGTTTGAAGTTTTAGCCTAATAGTATGGGGCAGAAGTTATATAAAAGTTAAAACGTTTCATTTTTAGTAATTTATTCAAATGACTATAAAGAGATTATGGATGTAAATTGCAATGAGTGAAAACTAATATGAAAATTTCGATTTTAACGTTTTTACTGTTTACGGAAAGATAAAATAAGAGGTTTTTAGTCATTTATTGAATATTTTAATGCTGTAAACAGGGAGTCTTTCTACTTTCGAATAAAAGAGACATTTTCGGAATGTAAATACTTAACACATTTGTCTTAGCTGTTTTTATGACGCTGCCCCATCACGTTACATGTATTATAGTGGTAGTTTTGATACGCAGTTAGCGACAAAATCGCAATGTTTAAAGTTCAATTATCCTCAAAATTATAATAGACTCAAAACTAAAAATCGAATTTTTAAAGATGTTAAACACATTAGGAATAAATATAATAAGAAAAAAAAAAATCGCTCAAAAATCGCTATAAAGCTAGCTAGTTGCTCGCTAGTCGCTAGCTCATTTCCCACCGGACTATATTGATGAATGGTAACCCTTCTTACTTCTGATTCCATTCTCTACCCCTACAAATCTTATTCATCCCTGTATGAAATACTGTTGTCATATATGGGCTTGTTCTCTCTTATTCACCCCTGTAAAAAATACTGTTGTCGTATATGAGCTTGTTCTTCTAATGATGCTCTTTCACTTCTAGACAAGATCCAAAAACACATTTTTAATGTAGTTAGATCTGTTTTATTTGCCAAACTTGAGCCTTTCTCCCATTGTTGAAAGGTTGCATCTCTTACTTATTTCTTCAAATACCATGATGGTTGATGCTCAAATGAGCAATCATCTCTAGTTCTATCAACCAAAATTCGTCTTGTTTGACTTGTCATTTAGCAAAGTCCTAAACTAAAGCAGACTTTTAAATACCGTATTGTTGATTGTTTTAATTTTTTTACTTTTTTTTTCCAATATTAATGTTCTTTTTAATTTTATTAAAATTTGTAAATACTTTATTATTTAAAAACTTTTGCATATAAAACTTGCCAGTGGTCACACACGAGCAGTGAACGCTTGAGGGAAGAAATGAAGTACATCAGAATAAAGGAGAATTATTTTTCGAACAAATTTGTTGACAGTTGTCAAGACAAAAATAAAGATAAATAGTGGATTATTTAAAAATAAATAAGACAGACAATGCACCTAAACAGTACTTACAATAATAAATAAAAATAAAAAAAATACTTTTTTAAATGTAGCTTTTTATTATTTGCTTTTAGGTGACTTAATCAGTAAAATAAATGATTTTATTTATTAAAAGTTGTAGATGCTTTATTAAATGTAGCCTTTAATTATTTGCTTTTAGGTGACGTAATCAGCAAAATAGATGGTTGACCACGTTTGATGCATTGCGACTCTCTTATTTTTTATTAGTAACTTTTTATGATAAAATCATAAACATTTATAGTACACTTAGGCTCATAGATTTGCTATACGAAAAATATTTCTTAATTTAAAAATATTATATTTTCGGACAGAACGTGGATTTTTCGCGCTAAAACTTTGAATTATTTTTCTATATATTAAAAAATAGCTTTTACAAAATTTTTCGGTGTTAACTTTAAACTTATTAACTTGAAGATTTATTTCGGTAAAAATTATTTGTATTTTATTTCTTATACCATTCATTAATCACATCTCTTAAACTTACTGTTTCCGCCGTTTTATGACTTTTTTTCCTTTTTTGGGGCGCTCCAAGTTCACGCCAGAAAGCCTGGGTCTGAAATTATCAATTTGCAGGAAAAAATAAATAAAAGAAGGTAACTTTATTTAAACAATTTTAAAGTAAATAAAAACGTATCATTGGACTTTTGTTCATAATAAGAGTTTGAATTAAGTAGCATCAGCTATAATCCTTTCTATAATATAAATATTCTATAATATCCTAGATTTTGAAACGGTAAGACAGATGTGTGCTTCTGCTTTTTTTTTTTTTCTTTTTTTTTTTTTAATTATTGTTTTAAAAACGCTATTTGAAAACCAATTTGATTTTATTGAATTCCTTGCATTAAAGTTTTTCAGAACGAATACAAAAACCCTTTCCAAACAAAATTAATCTAGATCATATTGGCACAGCTAATTTGGAGCGATAAAAAATAAGTAAAATATAACGTAATAGTAAGAGCTCGTATAAGCACGATCCATTAGGGCGTATTACGCAAATACAATACAATTTCTAAATGATTGTTATCACATACACTATATTGATATCGTATTGTGTGTTTAACTGAAGCAATTTTTCTGTTCTGTAACATTCTAATAGCTTTTTTTTTGTTGGCCAAATTTTCCTTGTTTTAATATAAAGAAAGTTTGAGGGAGTACAAAATTTCACCCGAAGGACATTTTGATGTTACTGGAGATACCGTAAATTTGCTTAAGTATGTAACCATGTAACTTCGATCATTTAAGAAAAGTAAAAACATTCGAACAAAAAAACTCAAATTTTAAACTTTTAATCTTAAATAATTTGTTATTCGTAAATTTGAATCTAAAAAGAAATTCTTTAGCAAAACAACAATTTGAAGAAAGGCATACTATTTAAGTCTAAAGTATTAAAATCAAATTTAATCTTATTATCGTTAAGAATCACTAATTTAAAATTACATTAAAGTTATAATTACAAGAAAATTTATAATTTTTGAAAAATAACTTCTTTTTTTTGAAAATTAGTGAAACTTTGAAATTTCAAATTTTCACTAATTTTTCGTAGTATAAGTATTTCAAAATAAATTTTGAAATACATTTATTACGGTCATTCTAAATAACGATGGAGACAATAGATTGTTGTGAAATGTTGATATGTGAAAAAATCATATTTCCTCAGATCTAGTACGTTTCTTTACCTACCGTGATAAAACACTACCTACTGTAATCGATTCTTTTCCTACCGTGTATGAAATGAATCGTATATTTTAATAATTGAAATTATTTTATATTTATTTATTTAAATCAAGAAACAAATACATAAATTTAATAAGATTTTTAAACAAAGAACACATTGAGCTTTTTCTGAATTTAAACTGTTTTTCTTATTAAGCTCTTTTTTTAAATGTTTTTTTTTTTGTCTTTTATTTTTATTTTCTTTTGTAACAGCTTGTTTTCTTTTAGATTTTTCTTGTTTTTCTTTTTTTAAACTATCAGTTTTCCATTTTGTACCAGAGCTTTTATTTTGCATTAGCTTGTCTGTAATCCAGAGATGTCTCAATCTTTTTTTATTAAGAAGGGAGGAGAGAAAGAGGGGCATGCCTCATTATAAAGTTGAGACAGAATGAAGTTTGATTCAATTTAAAATTTGAATTAAACTTACACAGGAATAAAAACACTCATTTTGACACTTCAAAAATATCAACTTGTAGCGTTCAGAAATATCAACAATTTATAGCATTTAAAATTTAGCAAAAAAAAAACAAAACAGGATAGGTAAAAAGAACAAATTTTAAGAATTTTAAAATAGTTTAAACAATTTTTTAAATACTTTCTGAAGCTTTCTAATCGTTACGATCCGCAGCATAAAATAACTTAAAGATCCCTAAAAAAATAAATAATGTACATTTTACTTCACCTTTTATTTTGTTGAAAATAAACGTTTTATGGCTGTTATTATTTTGTTATAGAATATTCTTTAAATTTTTAAGAAAGTTTACTGGGTTAAACAAAATTGTTGCTAACATTATTATACTTTTGAGTTTATTAATTCCGAATATAACTCTGAAACATGGAATGACTGTGTTAGCATAGTAAAAAATATCTTTAAAAACTAATTGGGAATTGCAGAGGACATAGTAGTTGAGAGAGCCCATCGAGTAGGACAAGTAAAAGAAGACAAGCCGCGAACGATAATTCTCAAACTTTTAAATTTTCTCGAAAAAAGCAAAACATTATCTTTAGCAAAAAAACTTAAGGGCAGTGGAGTATTCATAAATGAAGATTACGCAAATGAAACCTTAGAAAAACGAAAAAAGCTTTGGGAAGAAATAAAAAGACACCGAAAAGAAGGTAAATTTGCAATTATCAAATATGATAAAATTTTTGTACGAGAGTTTCGGAAATAAGTTAAATGCTTAACCTCAATTTTATAAAAATAAACTCTTAATCATGCGCAATGGCTTACAAAACAATTGACTTTGAAACCAAACAATTAAATTTTTTTGAAACTGATAACAGTATTTTACTCAACGACTTTTATGACGCAGATAAACAGGTTTTTAAAGAATTAGATTTTAATTTGCACTGAAACTTTTAAAACGCTATTAAAAACATTTCAAACAAAAATTTCACGGACGCTATTAAAAACATTTCACGGTGATACACTTCAATATTAGAAGTTTAAGTTTAAATATAGACAAACTAAAACACTTTCTTTTAGAATCCATTTTTTTATTTAACATGATTTGTCTCACAGAATCATGGTGTGATGATGAGTCAGCACAAAAAAATTCAAATTTTCAGATTCCTAATTATAAAATAATTTCATCTGAAAGAAAAATGCTCAAAAGGGGAGGCGGAATTTTAGTTTGCATTCGTAATGACCACGAGATCAAAATTAGAAAAGACCTCTCGATCTCTAATTCAGACAGTGAGGTCCTAACAATTGAGATTATAATTAAAAATACAAAAAACGTTGTAGTTTCTACTTGTTATAGACCACCCGACGGCGATGTTATTCAGTTTTCAAATTATATGCAACAAATTTTAATCAAAAGCAATAATGAACAAAAAAGATTATTCTGCATCGGTGACATCAACATAGATAGTTTAAAGTACAATGAACACCCTAATGCTAAAATCTTTTTTGACAATATATTTCAACACGGTATAATCCCAATCATTAAGAAACCAACTCGTGTTACAACAACTTCCATTAGTGCTATAGATAATATTCTAACTAACTCTTTTCTAGATAAGTCTATTAAAACAGGAATAATTAAAACTAATATTTCGGATCATTTTCCTATTTTCTTTTCTTTTGCTGAACCTGCAACCATAAATGATAATTCTAAAATCACAGTCTTGAAACGAAAAATGAATGAACATTCTATGCTTAAATTTAAAAAATCTTTATCAACAATAAATTGGATAAATGTATACCAAGAATGTAACCTTGGATACACAAATTCCGCTTTTAATCTATTTCTCGACATATTTCTTGAATATTATAACAAACATTTTCCAATACAAGAAATAGAAGTCAAAACAAAATATTTAAAATGTCCTTGGATTACACGCGGAATAAGAAAATCTTCAAAAAAAAAAAAAGCAAAAATTATACATCAAATATTTAAAAAACAGAAACGAAGCTAATCCTAATGCCTATAAAAAATATAAAAATCTGTTTGAAAAAATAAAAAATAAATCTAAAAAAAGATATTAATCTCAACAATTAAAAAATAATAATGGTAACATAAAGAAAACGTGGCAAGTTATGAAAGAAATCATTGATAAAAATAAAATTGTATCTGACATTTTACCCTCCAGAATAACGGAAAACGATATTGGATACAAAAACAAAGAAGATATATCAGAAATATTTAATCATTTTTTTGTAAACACTGGTCTAAACCTGGCATCAAAAATAAAAGGCTCAGAAACATCGTTTCAAAATTATTTTAGCGATTTTGAAAGCTCATTGCCAGATAGTAATTTAAATTTTGATGAACTAGAAACAGCAATCAAATCAATTAAAAAGAATAAGGCCCCAGGTATTGATGACATCTCTGGCAATGTTGTGCTTTATATTTTTTATGTAATAAGAAAGCCTATTTTTAATATCTTCAGCTCTTCAATCAAAAACGGAATTGTCCCAGACAAATTAAAAATAGCAAAAATTGTACCTATATTTAAAGGTGGAGATACATCTTTTTAGCAATTATAGACCAATCTCAATTCTTCCTATATTTTCTAAACTCCTTGAAAGAATAATTTACAACAGACTGTATAAATATTTAATAGAACACAAAATCTTAAGTGAAAATCAATACGGGTTTCAAACGCAACATTCAACAGAACATGTTATCCTGGATCTCATTAATAACATTAATAGGCTATGATTGAGTTTAATAGTTCATAAAGTAAATTACAGTTAATGAAAAAACCCTTTTTATTCGTCTAGTATCTGATTGGATGTCAACAAAAGTTTTTTCTAGAAAGTTTAAAGTAAATTAATTTTACAAGCAAATGTCACATAAATGATTTAAGTGTCGTTTGAACTTAAGTTATTTATTATCAAAAACCTCCGTTTTACTAGTTCAATGATTACTTTTTTTTACTATATTAAAGAAACACGCCTATAATAATAGCAAGTTATATAAAAAAGTATTATAAGACCATTCACATTAAATATAATTTGTTTTTAGATTAGCGATGCATATAATTTAGGGAAGTATTTTAATTCGGAGAAAGGCTTACCGTAAGTTTTTTAGGTTTTAAAAAGAAAAAATAAAGTTAGTGATAATAGTGATAAACACTGTCGTTAACATTGTTATTAATAGTATAAGTAAAAATATGAAATAATGACGATTATATTATTTGTAAACATGATGACCTATACCTTAGGAATCGTCCATAAATTACGTCACGCAATTTTTGACCGTTTTCGACCCCACCCCCCCCCGTCACAAAATCGTAACACTTAAGAAGCGCGTTTTGAATGAGTCGTCACAAAACTACCAACCCCTCCCCCTTATAGCGTGACGTAATTTATGGACGACCCCTTATAAAAAGTTGTTTAGCATTATTTGTTGTTATATTTTTTTTTAACATGATAACCTTTAAGTTGCTATAGGGCATCATTGTTAGCATGATGCCTTATAACTTTTATAGGAATACTTAGAGGAACTCACCCACATATTTTTTACTAAGGATGGGCTGGGGGAGGGGTTTAAATGTTAAAAAAAATTATTAGGGATAATTGTTCAATTAAGCAATTATTATTGAGAAAAAAACCCAAACAAAACTATTTTTCATAATTTGTTTATTATTTCTAGTTATGAGAAGGTATAGGTGAAGGGAAAATGAAAAAGCAAGCCGAAAAACCTTTCTAAAGTCAAAAACGCTTGTATTTTAAAAATTCAACAAAGAAAGATAACAGAATTGCTTTTGCAACTCTAAGAAACATGAACTATTATTGTTAAAAATATTTTATATATATGTATATATATATATGTATATATATATATATATATATATATATATATATATATATATATATATATATATATATATATACATATATATATATATATATATATATATATATATATATATATATATATATATATATATATATATATATATATATATATATATATATATATATATACGCAGATGCATATGTGATATATGCATCGCTTAAATATGCAATGTATGTACGATCTTTCGCATAAAGAGCTTTGTTTACTTATAGACAGGGTCGACGACATGGGTTTTAAAGTGTCAAAAGGGGTAGGGAGGGAGGCGGAGAGGATTCACAATTATCAATTTCTAAAAAAGTCTTCTAAATCTTAAAATTTCTAAAATAAAAATACAAAAATATATAAAAAGTCCTTTTTAAAATAAAAGGAGGGGTTGCAATGCCCCTCTGTGGTGTCGGTCATGATGAATGTTTAGTAATTTAAATATCATAGTATTGATCGACATTTGTTTAAATTTTGTTTACCGAACGAGTTTATAACAGTTTGTTTTATTAAATTCTACGCAACATGAAGTCAACAACATACAGCGAAAAAACAATATAAAAGCCGTTTGGTTTTTTTTTTTTTTTTTTTTGAAAGGATGAAAGATCGTTCTGTGAGTCCTATAAGAGGAAAATGGTTGTGAATAAATGAACTTTCTGTAAGCGCTTTAAAAGGAAAATGTTTTTTTATTTTTGATAGGATGAATGATCGCTCTGTGAGCGCTATAAAAGAAAAAATGCTTCAAGTTAAAAACCAATTTAAAGAACTTGAAATGGTTAATATCTGATACTTCTCGCACTCTGAAGTACACCAATAATTATTCCCAATAATTAAAATATTAAATGCTTGTATAAATATTAGTAATAAGTGTTATATTCAAAAACAAATTAATATAAATACAGTATAAATAGGAGTACCCGAGTTATTTAAATTTTAGAATTAAGCAATTTTTGAACATCAGAAAAACTCAAAATTTATATAACTCTAAAATTGTAAACGATATAGAAATAAATAAATGTAAGGATTTTTTTTTTATTTAATCTTTTTATTTGATTTTTTTTTATCTATTGGATAAGTTTTTAAGAATTTTGGGGCCCTTATGACAGGTTTTTTTTTTTAATGGGAGGGGGGCTTGTATGTAGTAGCCACGGCACTGTATATAAGGTATATCAATATATATTAAATTATATTATAAAAAAATATATTTATTTAATAATTTTATATAATTTATTTATCAGTAACTAAAGGAATGTTTAATCAATTTATTATATAAATCATTAGTGTGTGCTTATCTATTACAAGTACATTTTAAAACGTCGAAATAAACGTCGATTAAAAAATTAGGTTTTGTTTTTCTATTTTTGATGGTGAAAATCTAAAGGGTGTTGTGAGAAATCGAAAGAGTTTTATAACATACTAAAAATAATGTATGTGTTACCTATAAAATTAAAAGCTAACAGTTAAATTTAATTTTTTTACAGTTCATATTGAAACGAGATATTGTGTAAAGAGGTTTTAACAATAATGGAAAAGCTTCCAATTTCCGAGGTAACCGTGAAAGCATTCAATACATGATTAAAGAATCGTTTAAAAGTTTGCTTAATTTCGACAGTGTAATTTTAATTACTATTTTTTTGAAATAAACCAATCAATTTATATATAAATTTGCTTTTTCTGTAAATTTTAAACATTTAAACGTAGTTTTGCAAGATTTGCTATGGGTAAACCTCGTGGGACCCTCACGGGATACCCGGCGGGCATACCCATATAGGCCCTAGAAGAAAACCGCGACCAAGATCCGGTGGGTTTCCGATGGGTTTCCCATATGGGTCCCATTTGAAAACACATATGGGTCCCTTACGGTTTTAAAGTACGGGATTTGACTGGGACCCATACGGGATACCCGGCGGGCTCACCCATATGGGTCCCATATGGAAGCCGCGTTTATGATCCGGCGGGATACCGTTGGGCTTCCCATACGGGACCCAGTTGACAACCCGTATGGGCCCTGTACGGTACCCGTATGTCAATGTTGGCTGGAACGTTATTATACGGATTAGAACTGAGTGGTTTTAACAATAAGTTTTTTCGAAATTTTGATATAGTTAGACGATCTGCCTTAAAATCATTTTTTAATATTAAAAGTTAATAGTAAAAGTTAACTTTTTGCTTTTAACTTTTTTTAAAGTAGTCGAACATTCTTTTTCAAAACAAATTAAACTTATTTATCAGGCTACTAAACGAGCCCATTTGTTACTTTGTTATACTGACTCAGTTGCCGTACATAAATTATCAAAGATCATTTGTGAGTGTAAACGTTCTCCAATATATGATCGATGGTAAAAAATTTAGAATTACACGCCCTACTGTATTGGAGGCCAATGTTGCGATATTTTTAAAACAATCATTTTAACAATTAAATTTAAAGGAACAAAACAAATGTTTAGAAATTTGATGGAGGAGATCGTTACAAATACAATGCAAGAAAATGCATAGCAGTTTCTACCTTTTTTTTTTTTTTTTTTTTACCTATAATAAATGTTATTATGTTTAAAAAATAATATAATAATAATAAATAAATATACGAAATATAATAATAAATAAATAAATATACGAAATATAATAATAAATATACGAAAAGAAAGAACAAAACCATTACATAAATTATAAATAAACACAGTTTTAAAATATCAAAACCCTTGGGGAATATAATTTGAGTTCTTTTTTTCAATTTGTTTCAAAATTCAAATTTTTCAAGGTTTTTATTCACCACTAACACTGATTCTGAAGAGTTACTTTCTGTATCTAAAAATAAAAACCATTACATAAATTATAAATAAACACAGTTTTAAAATATCAAAACCCTTGGGGAATATAATTTGAGTTCTTTTTTTCAATTTGTTTCAAAATTCAAATTTTTCAAGGTTTTTATTCACCACTAACACTGATTCTGAAGAGTTACTTTCTGTATCTAAAAATAAAAACCATCAACGAAATTCGATTGGTTACTGTTAACAACAACTGCATTTTAATTGGTTTGTTGGTCATCAATAATGAGTATGACAATTTTATTAAGATTGTAAAAATGCTAACTTGTTTTTTTCATTTTTCTTACATAAATTTCTTATTTCCGTTAACTATTTATGAACAAATTTTACAGCATGTTCATTAAATTTATGGCTAAAAGTTTTTTATAACCAAAACAAAAAATATTTCTATTTTTTTTTTTTTTTAACATGTTTATTTTACAACTACAAAGTATTTACAATTGACCAATCACCGATTGGCGAATAAAGATATACAAATATAAATATCGTAAGCATAAAGTCCAAAATAAGTAAGGGATAAATCTAAAATATTGTTACATTCAACTTTGAGACATGATAAAAATAAATACAAAGTACACAATAGAATAACGTGAACGTAAAAATTACCCAAGAAATAAACCTTCTATATTCTTTCAATTAAAATAATATATATATATATATAAATATATATATATATATATATATATATATATATATATATATATATATATATATATATATATATATATATATATATATATATACTTTTATCATACTTGTTTTTATCATACTTTTATATATATATATATATATATATATATATATATATATATATATATATATATATATATATATATATATATATATATATATATAAAAGTATGATAAAAACAAGATTTGTATAAGATTGAAGAAAATAGTTAATTGTTTGTAGTTATAGGATACTCGCAGAAGACTGGGGTCAGTCTGGTCATCGAGTACCTTCTAGACGTGTAATTCACATAAAAATCAGTTGCATACGTAGTAAATATGTATGAGGTGCATATATGCCTTAAAATTATTAATGTTACTATCTCCTTTTAGTATTATTTTCATTGTTTCCTTTAAAAAGTTACATTTTTTGTTTTATAAGAGTTGTTTTATAGTATTTTTATTTTTAAATTTTAAATTGGAGTTTAAAAAAATTTCTTGTAGTTGTTTAACTTGATTATTGTAGATTTTAACTTTGTTTTCAGGGACTGTTCGTTGTTTAAATTTATTAGCGATTCGTTTCTAGAAATTATTTTGTTAAATAAATAGGGACCAAGATGTTTTATTGAAAATTTTGAGAGTTTAGTTTTTTCAAAGGGTATCTTAAAGTTTCCCGTTGCTCTTGTATTGTATTTGTTTACGTTGTTTTTAAAAAAGTGTGCTATAAAATGTTCTGGAACCAGTTTATATTTAAACATGAAAAGTATATTTTGATAAATATTAATTTGAAAAATATTTAAAGCGTTTATTTGCTCCAGTAGGGGTTGAGCATGAGTAAGTATGTTTTTGTTGAACATTAGTCTTGAAGCGTGCTTTTGACGCAGATAAAGCGGTTTTAATTTAGTTATGTGGGTACTGCCCCATGCTATATTGGCATACATAAGATAGCTATGTATGAATGAAAAATAAACGAGTATTAGACTTTTTTGTGTCAAGAAAGATCTTGCCTTATAAAGTAAACCTACCCAAGTAGCAAACAATATTGGCGCGATATTGGGTATCTTGGCCTAGATTGGCCAAGATACGCAATATTGCGCCAATATTAGCAAACAATATTGCGCCAATATTGGCATATCAATATTGGTCAATATTAGCATACCAAGATTACGCCAATATTATTTTATTGCTATTGGAATATAATATTGGCGCAATATTGACATGCCAATATTGGCCAATATTGATATGCAAATATTGGTGCAATATTGTTTGCCAATATTGTTTTGTTTTTATTACTCAAATATTGGCCAATATTGAGATTTTTACGTATTGGTACGCAGGCGTAACATTATTGCTTATTCATAATGTCCTATAGTTTTGTCCTTTGATGTCCACAATACTTTTAATAGAATATTTACAGATTGAATCACGAGAAGAAGTGGTTTTAATTTATTTAAAAACAGATTGTATCACGAGAAGAAGTGGTAAAAGTAAAGAAATCCTTTTAATTGAAAATTTAGAGATTGTATCACGAGAAGAAGTAGTTGTAATTTATTTAAAACAGATTGAATCACGAGAAGTAGGTACGTGAGCATCGCGTTTTACGGAACCGAATTTTGTGCTAAAATTCTGTTCCAGGTTTTTCGTAGTCTCTTAAAAGTTAGCGTGCTTGAGGAAGACATTGTGGAATAATTTTTTAGTATTCGTTATCAACATAGATTATTTTTAGAAAGAAGAATAGTTGAAGCATTAGTTCGATTGGTTTTTAATTATACTTACTTAATTCATTAACGAGATTATTGATGTCAAAATTTTGGTTGTACTTCTGTGGTAAATTTAATGTCCAGGATATAGTCTTTTTTTTTTCTATCCTATTTTTTAATTAAATTTATTCATTTATCTACGCACCTGCCAAATTTCGTTGAAAAATATTTTGTAGCAGTCACCTTATTTCTTGCTACACTTTTGTTACCTAATTTAGATTTTACCTGATGTTGGCGCGGGAGACAGAGGGGTCCATCAATTGTTTTTATTTATATTTTTTTTACATATATAGTATTCATATTAGCAATATTTGACTTATGTCATAAATTGATATTGTAAACCTAGATATTTTAGAGTATAAATATAGTTAAAAAATTTGTAAATTTAAAAGAAATTGTTTTAATGAAACGATTTTTAGTAATTAATAAAATAATACTTGGATTTTATATTTCATTTAGAAATAAAATAAAGA